TGATGTCAACTCTGACAAAGCCTTGTCTCAGTGTTCAGAGCTAAATGAGTGAGATCTCACAGTGAAACTATCACCAGCTGTGTTAAAAGAAAAGGCATTGTGGGTTTTTTTTTAGCCAGAATGCTGTGGTTACAATTACTCCCATGCTGTGTAATTACCATGATCCTGATGCCTCGGCTGGTATGAGGATGATGTTACAGAGCAAACTAACGAGCTTGCTTTATCCGTGCATTGAGATTAAGTGTTAAAATATTATGGATTATCTTTTTTGGAGAGTAATCAAGAAAAATTAATTCAGAGTGAATATATGTTTTTAAACATTTGTAAACTAAGCCAATCTTTCGTCACTTTTGACTTCCCCAGAATGCAGTGGAAGGATGTGGTTACCATGGCAGCAGATGTGGCCAGAAATGGATTTAATGTTACTCATGACCTTGGTAAGTATAGTGTAATGTAGTACAAATCATTGGGTGACTAATGACACTACTCCTACTCTCAAAAAAAACACCAGCATTGTCACCCAGTCACACAGTGTCGTTCCTGATTAACACAAGGTGAAATCATATTTGAAGATTAGGTGTGATCTCATCTGCCCTTTCTCTCTCTCCCCTAGCTGAAGCTCTGGCTAAAGTTAAGGACCAAAACTTGCCAGATGCATTTCGGGATTTGTTCCTCCCGAACGGCCAGGCACCCCTCCCCGGGCTGTTAACCAGACGTCATGATTTAGCAGCCATCTTGGATGCCGTCGCAGTTAAGGGGATATCAGAGTTCTACAGTGGGAACCTGACACAGGAAATGGCAGCAGCAGTAAGAAAATATTATTTTCCTCCACCTCTCTCCAACTGTAATTATATAACTAGTCTTGAAGTCTCCATGGGGGAGTCATTTTTACCACTTAAACACTAAGGCTGTGTTGTACTTTCTCCTCAGTTTTTTATGTTTTGGCTAGGGTGAGGTAATAATTCATGACTGTCATATTGTGACAAAATAATGATTCTGTC